CAAATTTTACGGTGTTAGTTAGACAGCTCCATTGCAGTATCCGACGGTGAGTCAGAGGTATTGGAGGAGAAATTTTTAGCTGAAAAAATTAAGACTACTAGTCCCAAATATTGGCGTTTTTCTCTTCTAGCCTCAAAATATCATCAACCCCTGTTATACTGGCTAGCTTAGCTACTACTTTCTCTTTTACTTTTGATGTGCGATTTCTACTTTGATCGGCATGAACTAAGTGACCATGGACTCTAAAAAGCCCGGAATTAGATGAATTTATCCGAACAAAACCTCTGCCTATTGCTGTATACACCCGTGGATTGATGGTAAGAAAAGGAGAATATTACAAAAGATGGTAAAAATAAATAAATAAAATAGCAAGAAAAATCGAAGTGTAAGAATTGCTTAAAAAACCGGTTATGCAATGAGAAGGACGAGTCAAGTGAAAGACAAAAGGGGCATGGAGGGACAGTGAATAAAAGACAGAAAAGATAAAAGTGATACTTGAAGATTGAACATTAGAGACGGGTTATAGATCAATAAGTAAGTGTTTAGGATAGAATAACAAGGCTTGTCCATGGTAATGCACAGATAAGCTCTAGGGCAGCTGTATCAAGGTACACGCTAAATCCGCCCTATCTGATCTTATTTCATGTGAGGCTGGGTTTGCAAGCAAGCTCCGAGATAGAAAAAAACGCATTGTTTTGTTTTGTTATTTTGGCATTACGATTGGCCAAACTCGAGCCATCACCAATACGAACGAGTGAACGATTCATTGGCCAACGGTTCAGTAGACAGTTGCCATCATTTCAGAATGCTAATTTTGTCTACGAGTCAGACAGACCTGCGTTCTGGGCTGAAATGTCGGCGAATGACAGATCTATGGTATTGCCTCAGTGTAAATTATTGAGCTGACTAAGGGGGGTGCGCAGGCAATAGAAACCGGCTCAGCGGACCAATCAACGCATGGGAAAACTTGCTGTTGGCCCCGCTAGCGGAGTTAAGGCAACGAGACAGCTGCCAAAGTTCGAGAACAATGGACTAATGGCTGGTCAAGCATACTAGCTCTACGCGTCCGAAGCCTCCGATGCCCAGCACAGCAACAAATATAAGATCCTCCTTGAGGATTAATGTTGGCTGTGTCTGCTGCTGCGTCTGCGGCCCCAATTGGCCGGTCGACCTGACCGTGGCCGATTCTCCGAGCACGCTGTACTGCCCAGGCGGTGCGCCCGAGGACCGACATGGAAAAGTGGCCAGATCGGTCGTGGGCGAGATGGAAGGCTGGATGACTGGGCCCTGGTGACTGGCCGGCCAGAATGCCTGGGCGAAGGGAGCGACATTCGCTGCAGCGGTCGGTCCAGAGAAGAGTTCGTGCTCAAGAGCCGAAGAAGCAGTACTGGTGGTCAGCCGAGAGGGATCAGCAGTACGTAGGACAAGTCGCGAAAGCAAGAGAAATAGGAAAAAGGAAATTGAAGTAAGAGGAAAATATGGTATGGTAATACGCCCTGGTAGATGAATAAAAGTCGAAGAAAGCAGAAATAGTTCGGCAAACTAAAAAAAGATTAAAAAAGAAGAATATAAATAAATAGGCAATGAAGGGAGTAAAATCAAATAAGAACAGTTTTTAACCCAGACAGGCAATGATGGAATAGAGATGAAAAGGGGAAAAGTAAAAAAACTCCGAATTACAGAAATTACAGATAGTCACCCTTGACTAGGGCTGTACCCTGAACCCAGAAAAACGACAGATCCTGATATACAGATCGGCATGTGCGCGCAAGGTCATGGCTAGAATTACAACTAATCAATTACTGGTAAAGGTTGTCGAATATTAAAACAAGGGATTAGTAAAAATTGATGGATTACTTAATGATAAAAAGAGACATTTATGAAAAAACTATCAAAAAATAAGATTATGCTATTCGCAACTTGTCTTTATAAATTACTTGTCGCATGATGAGTCGAATGAAGTGTAATAATAGGATAGGATTGACCTCGTTGTCGCAAATTGGTCTTGTTGTCAGGGCGACTTAGTAGAACGCACCTTGTCCGTAGTAGTAGTTATCATAATTCCTAGCATCAGGCAGAGGACTTGATACATTCTCAGATGTCTGATTCTGGGAATTATGATAACCACTATGGCAGAGGACTTGGGACAAGATGTATCCTATTAAGTCGCCCTGACAACAAGACCAAATTTCGACAACGAGGTCAACCCATTTCTATAAATTGAAAGGAGACTACGACCATACCGGGGGCCACACGATCTTGGTCTTCATATCTTGTAATAATAGAAGTTTCGGTCCTGTTCTTTTGCCATTTCAACTATTAACAGTTGGTCCAAAAGGATGAATAACAAAGAAAAATTATTAGGCTTACTATGTACAATACACTTAAGGTGTGTGGTCTCATCCACATCAGAATGAAGCCTTAGATATAAGCATCAGGCTCTAAGCCAGGTATGTAAGTGTTGAAAAATAAACAACATAGCATAAACCTAGTCATAGCAACATCAATATTGTTATATGTCAGTATACAAAACCAAAATTACCGCCAAATAAACAGAAAATCTTTCCATCTGACATTAGGCTTCTTGGTAAAAGTCGTCAGACCGAAGTTTGCATGCAAATTTTCTAGTTTTATGCAGGAGGATGTTGAAGACATTCTACAATCCTGTGTATTTTCGATAAATTGGCAGGTCCGAATCCTTTGAAAATAATGACTTTTATAAGGTTTCGATGTTGGCAAATGAACTGAAGTGGTCAAGGATATCTATTAAGATGTGTAATGAATGAGAAGTTCCTGCAAAAAATTCAACCACCTGAGATAAAAATGATATCAATCTTTTTGCACTATTAATTAGTATACTTTAAACTAATTGACCTGAGCTAAGATCTGAGTTGCAATGATATTCAGTTAAGTGACTCTAGCATTTACTTTAAGAAATCAAATGTCCATGGGAATTGGCGGTTGAAGAAAAATAGGTCAAAAAGCCTACTCAACCGGATATAGGGAAGAGTGCGCATAGATGTGAGAGCTTGAACTCACCTAGCAGTCCGGCGTAGATTGTCTCCGTAATCCTTTGATCTGATCTCGTTCAGATCCCCAATAAGGAAGATGAAGTTACTGAAAAAATTAGAAATTAGAAATAAATAAAGTAATATACAAAAAGCCATAACATTTTTCCTTATCAAAGAATTGCTTTAATGGCAAAAAATTTGTTAACGAAGGTATGATAGAATAGTTTTCAATAAATGAAACAGAAAAAATCCACAAAAGGTTGCTTACCTTCTGTCTAGTGTCAAGCACTGCACCCCTGACGTCTTTGCTATTACATTTGCACTCCTCTTCTCTGATCTAAAAAATGAAGTAAAATGTGGTTTACCACATGAAATAAAGTTGTAGAAAAGTCCAAAGCAGAAGTTAAT